CATCAGACTTGGCAGCAATCACCTCTGTCCACTGAGTTGTCTTGTCAGCCCATACTGACAGTTTTAAAGGTTGCTCTAATCACTACACACCTTGTGTGACTGTGGTGATTGTTATCAGTTCCTCGAAAGACTGAAGTCAATTGCCTTGGTCTCTTGTATTCTGCTCTTAGATGTAGAGAAAATAGATGTGGCTAAAATCAGGATGACTAGAATCAGGGATGTTGAGAATGCATTTGACTCATTATCCCATCTTTAAAATTGATGGACAACATCCAGAAAAAGCATACTATTTTGTAAATATCACATTACATTGTATTTTTAAAAAATAAACACAGATTCATACACTTTAACCGTTTCACTCTTACTATTCCCATTAAGGATGCATCACTAGTTTAAATAATCCCCAGGCCCTTCAAAGTAAGTATATTCATCAGCATTTCTCTAGTACAAGCCACCTTTAAATTCTAGTCCCTTTATCCTTCTTCTAGACCAGACGCCAGAAAGTGCACAGTGACAGCTTGCCATGTATCTTCCTATTAACCTCTGACAGTTGCCATCAAACATCTTCGTGGTGACATGCTGAAACGCCCCTCCATTAGGGTTTCCTCCCTCTCTCCAGGGATTTCTCAGAAATATCCTTTTCCCACCTCTAAGTGCCTTGCTTATTTTTTCACCAGCCATTTATGGCTCTTAACCATGTTATTTCTGTTTCTGGGGTCAGTGAATCTGTGATTTTCCCATTGCTTTGCACAGACTTTTCCTGTCTTCTTTGTCCTAGGACTGGATTCTTCCCTCCTTCCTACCAAGTGTCCATCAGTGTCACATCCTAGTGACCATTCATGGCCTAACCCAAATGACAATCTTAAATGCCTCTCTATGTTGTTTAAAACATCATCTTGAACTTCCCCATACCAACCTCACACTCATCTCAATGCCTTGAAATGAATTTAACATCTTACACTGGTACCTGTTCCTGTTTAAGACTTTTGTTATTTTTAAGCCTGTTGTGACTTCTTGTTGCTGAAGCCTTCTTTGATATTCACATTCAATAATTTGTATATTTTAAAATAGTAATTGTTATATCAATATTTAAATATTGTTATATTCTATCTACCATCTATCTACCCATCATCTATCTATCTATATATCTGTGTCAGTTCTGAAATTGGCTTATGTATGTAGCGCATATCTCCCTAAGGACACAATAAACCACATGGACATAGAGATTGTGCCTCACATTTTTCAATGGGCTTTCCAATGGGTTTCTCCTACCCATTGGTTGATAAATGATTGAGAAAACACAGGGGATACACAGAAAATGTTGAACTGAATGATCAGTTTGTTTAATGTGTGCTAGATGTTTACCTGCTTCTTTGACTTTGATCAATACTGTATTTCTATTCTTGCTTAATTACTATCAAGAAGAATCCCTTAGAGGTTTTTCTTTTTAGCTAGCAAAGATTGAGGTAGGTCTTAGGGTAGAGGATCACATGAATATTATGCTTTGCTTTCCTTTTAAAACCTATGCTACTGGCAGCAGGAAAGAGCAGAAAGTCTTAGGGAAAGCAGTTAGGACCTGCCATTGCCACATTCAGGAGCAAAAGCTGAGCACTAAAGTGGTGTTCGCAAAACCAGGGGGTTAGAAGTCAGAAGATGAAAACAAAATAAACCATTCAGATGTTCACATGGAAGATTATTCAGGCAGACTGAGAAAGTCATAGTTTCAGCACTAACTATACTCCACACCGTCTACTGAATCAAGTTTAGACATCTGGGTTGTGTTGTTTGTGAGGATACCAGTTAGCTTCACTGGTAGTGTGACCACAGTTGGCTGCTTGTTAGCATTCTGTTGCTGATGCCTGACTCCTTCTCTACTCCATGTTCCAATGACTATGCAATCTGCCTACATTCCCACAGGAAACTGCACTCCCCAGTGGTTACCTAAGTTTTGGATTGTTACTGGGAAGAGTTGCCCCCAGGACTTCATGTTCTACTTGGTAGGCACTGGTAGAGCTGCCAGAGCAAAAGCCAAAGTCACTGCCATTAACTGATGAGTACTCTGGTGTGCTAAGGCAACCAAATAGTGAAACAAAGTCTTAAAAAAACACACCTTTTCTCTGCCCCTGATACAACTAGAAACTTGAGCTCAGTTTATTGTAATACCTAATATAAGATTTGATAAATGTTTATTAATTTTTCTTAACTCTAAAGCATTATTTTAAAATGATTTAGCAAACCTCCTCTTATGTAGGATGCTAAATATTCTAAGGACTAAGTAAATATCTTTATGAAATTCAATTTGTGTTCTAAACTTTAGGATAAATGATAGCTAATTGAAATAACTCAACCCTATAAATCAAATTAACTTAAAATTTAAAACTTATTTTTGAAAATCTTACTATAAACAAAGGATAACCTCACATGCATAATGAGGTACAGGATTAAGACAGTCACTTAGTTAATTCAAGCTAAAAATCTCCTTTCCTATAACTTTAATGACTATTTCAGGCAGGAGTACTGAAGTCTAACTTTATCTGGAAAATTGCTTTGACTTTTAATGGAAAAGTTCGTGGAGTAAACACTAGCACTATTACTTTTCTAAAGAGTTATGATCTTCATTTTTGTATTTCTATCAGAATATTAGATTTATAGACTTCCATTCCCACCCTTCTCTGAATTAAGGCTGTTCAAGATAAAAGGATTAACAATCATTTTTAAAGTAAGGAAATGTCCCCTTTATACTTACTCATAGTTGTGACTCTTAACTACAGCAATGGCCAACCATTATCAGTTTAACTGATTTTTTTTTTTTTTGAGACAGTTTTACTATGTCCCAAGCTGGCCTTGAACTCCTTCTGCCTCAGCCCCTTCTCTGAATTAAGGCTGTTCAAGATAAAAGGATTAACAATCATTTTTAAAGTAAGGAAATGTCCCCTTTATACTTACTCATAGTTGTGACTCTTAACTACAGCAATGGCCAACCATTATCAGTTTAACTGATTTTTTTTTTTTTTGAGACAGTTTTACTATGTCCCAAGCTGGCCTTGAACTCCTTCTGCCTCAGCCTTCTGAGGGCTAGGATTGTAGGCACAGGCTACCATGCCTGGCTTTAGAAATGACATTTTTGGAAGAGGCTTTCCCTTATATAGTCCCTTTATTTAAACTATATTTCTACCAATTTTCCTTGAAAGCTAAGACTGATGATGAAGAGGGTCTAGATTAGGGCTGCCTGACTTTACATTTTTAAACCATTCTAAGACAGAAAAATTAGTCACTATGCACATTTGAGCTGATGGTGTTGCCTTTGTATAGGAATCATTGGCGATTGCTTTACAAAGGGTCCACTTCAGGTGTTCACCACAGCCCAGCGGAATTAGAAACCATAACTCCTGTCTCACGTTAGCTATGCATTTTATAATCTCCCCAGCTGGGCCTGATGGAAGAGAGAGCTGAGAACCACATGCATGAGACTAACTTAGAAAAAGGGAGGAATACTTGTCAGAATTTGAAAATACATTGATGTATTTATTTCAATGCAAATATTTAGATCAAAGTCAGCTTTTTGGGCAATCTTTGAGTGAGTAGTTCTTGTTTTTGTGCCAATTACAGTTTCTGTCTCTTCTGCACTTTCTCTCTATTCTGAGTTTAAACAAACTGTAATATCATGTTGGAAATGGCATTATTGCTGTGAAATACAAAATAGCAGAAGAGCTGTGAGTATAGATATTGTCTCTCATGTTACTAGAGACAAACTGTAATTTATAAGAAAATGCATAAGGAGATATTTAAAAATTTTTAAAGATTCTCAGAAATTTGCTTCTTATGAACAAACGCAAAAGGTAGTGGCACATCTAATCTAATCATAATATTATAAAAATTTGTGCGTCAAAATGAGAATAAAAGAAGAAATTTTGTCTGTTTAAAGACAGAGCATCAAATACCTAACAAAGAGGAAATAATCACAGAGGGAAAGGCATCAGGGGGCATATGAGTGATGTTCGGACAGATCTATGGTTCAGACAGAACTGAAGCTTTCTTGACTCCTGCTGTTGATTAGGAAGATGATGGCAGTTGACCCTCTGCAACCAGACAAGAAACACTACTGGTGTCCCATCCTGCTCTCCCCTCCCCACTCTCTTAGCCTCTCCCTCTCCTCTATGCTCTCTCTCTGCCCCCTCCCGCTCTCCCTCTCTCTCTCTTGTCTTATGAGTTCTGTCCCTGTTCTCCCTCTTCTCCTCTCCCTCTCTCTATCCTGTCTCCCTAGTTCATCTTCTCTTGTTTGTTCTCCCTTTCCCTTCCTCTCCCTCTCTTTCTCACTCCTCAGTTCCCCCCTCCCTGCCTCTCGTTTTCCCCCTCTGCTGCCCTCTCTTTCCCCCACCACTGCCTTCCTCTCCCCCCTTACTCCTCTCTCATCTCCCCCGCTCATCTGATGCTCTTCACTTGAAGCAGATTCTTTAACCTAAGCAGATTATTGTCGCTGCGTGAAGGACACAGTCAGGACACAGGCAGCTAGCTGAGCCTTCCAGGAAAGAGATTTGGCTCCAAATAGGACAGTAATCTCCTCAGCCTTCTGCTTACTTACCTTGTCAGCAGGATGCAGTGTCTCTGGGTGCTCCCTCGACTCCTAGGGAATCTGGGTAGAAACAAAAGCTGAAGTGTCAGACGTTGCAAATGTGGGAGTCTGTGCCATTAAAAGAGAGCAGTTGCTAATAAGGGCCCCTGAGACCTGGGTTTCCTTGGTTTCCATGACAGTTATTAGGTACCATAGAAATTGAATTGTCTCCCACAATGCTTCTAGGGGAGGGGGATGCTCCAGTGACAAAACAGAGCAGTTATGACTTGCAGTAACTCGTTCTTTTGAGAATGGAGTAGTCCCTGGGTTATCTCTTTGCATAATTTTTAAAATCTCCTTTCAGTGTGCTTGGCATTTTGGCCAGAAGACCCTGGCTTCGGCTGCACATTGTCTCAAACACTATCCCCCCTGCCCCCTTTGTATTTAGATCCGCATTTGGCAAACAAGGATATGAACAACTGTGCAGGTGGGCTGCTCAGGGTGAGTGAAGAGATAAGGCGTCCAATCAGGGTTTGGCCACCTGCAGCCCTGCCGATATGCCCCTCCACCAGATTTCTGTAATCCCAGCCCGGGAGACCGCCAGCAATGGAAGTTCAGTGGGCAGAAACAAAGAGAAGAACAAGGAAGTCGAGGTAAGAGGAGGTTTATTTGACAAAATAGGAAAACTCGGCCACCGCAGCCAGCGCGGCTCTCTCTGTGCAACAGGATGGAGCTCAGCTTGAAGGGCAGCTGGCTTCCAGCTCTCAGTGCTTACTAGCAGACTCCAGAGCGTCATTTTGTGTGACTAAGGAGCACATGAAACTCCTATTTTATGAATGAAGGGAGAAGCCAGATCTATAAGGATACTTGCTGTTCGATAGACTTAAAACTTGTCTCTGAACACGCTGTAGAGTACCTTTTGACTTGTGTGACTCATGGTGTCACCCGAAGCTCGTGGGGTGGTTGTAGGCGCTGCTGTTGACCATTTTTCAGACAAGGGAATTGATGATGTTAATTATGCTCACTGCCCAGCTACAGTGCTTGAAAATAACTTTCTTAACAAAGCACCAGTGGGGTTGCGGATGAGATGCTCTAACAAGGAAGGTCCACATGAATTAGTGCTTGAAGCGCCACTGTTTGTGCTCGGTGGATGGGACTTTTGCTTCATGTCTGTTCATTTGCATTTTATTCTTCATGGGGGGAAAAAGTTATTTGAAACTTAACATAGCCTATTCACTGTAATATGTTAGGCTTCGTTCTGGAGGGAAATTAGCAGCCATGTATAGAAGTTAAACTGCTTGAAAAAATCAGCTTCTGGGAACTTACTTAGAAGGATTTTAAGGAAGAGCTTGAACAGAGTCAGGATATTGTACTGTCATGGTCCCCTTAATGGGAGTTAAGAGAGAATGTCAAGTAGGCAAAATACACAACAATCATGTCATCACTTAGAAGACTAAGGGTGGAGGATCCTAAGTTCAAAGTCAACCTGGGATGTATAGGAAGACAATCTCTAAAACAGAAAAATAAAGGGATTGTTAAGATAAGTAATCCTTTGGACTCTTTTAAATACAACTTTGTCAGGATTGGAGAGATAGCTCAGTGGTTAAGAACACTGAATGTTCTTGCAGAAGACCCAGGTTCAAATCCCAGCACCCACATGGCAGCTAAAAACTGTCCGTAACTGCGGTCACAGAGGATCTGACAGCCTCTTCTGTCCTCCACCGGCATTGCACGACATGGGTGCACTTACCTACATGCAGGCAGTACCCACATACACATGAAAATAATAAATAAAATATTAAAAAGTAGAACTTCGTCTAATCTTTCAGATGTCATGAGCTTTTTCTATCTCTGTCTTCTCCTTCCTTTTTCTTCTTTCTTAATCCTCCTCCTCCTCGTTTCCTTTCTACTTCCTCTTCTTGTTAGGACAGGTTTTGAGTGCAGAGGAAGCAGCAAACGCATGTAAAGCAAAACATAAAAAAGTGGTGATGGGGTGTCAGAATAAGCTAAAGTACATCTTCAAATGGTATAGATATGTACAGTGTCTTTCCATTGTATCCTAACTGGTGTTAAATATGTCACTGAAGAGGAGTGAACTGTTGATGTGTCCAGAATTTGTAGAAAACTTCAAAAAAAGTTTTCTGAATTACTCTTTGCAGAAAATACTTTCATTTTGGCAGCTGTCCTGTCATACACACATCAGGTGTCCCCGAGAATAAAGTATCTTTGGGAAAGTAGTCTTTCAGCTTAGTATCAATTGGAACTATTTTCTGAACTATCTCTTAAGTTTGGAGAGATGAGGTAAAGGAAAGAGGGCACATCAATCAATTCTACAGTAGGTATAGAATGTCAAAAGCAAGATTCAGAAAAGTGGCATGCAGCTCAAAATTCAGATCTTTGGATATATTTTAGATTAACTGAAGGAACCTTTCTATAACGATATTGGCTGGCAATTTTGTTAGGAATCGGAAATGATCTGAAATGAAATTGCATAACTGAATGTGATGGTGTATACCTGTGACCGCAGCACTCAGGAGACTGAGACAGGATGATTGTCGGGAGGTTGAGGTAAGCCTAGGCTTGGTGAGTTCTAGGACAGCACAGGCTACAGAGTGAGACCTTATCTCCAAAAGGTGAAGCTTCATTTCTGTGTCTTCATCACAAACAGCTGCTGTTCATTTTTCCTTGGGTTGAATCAGAGAAACTGGGATGGTTTACATGACATTTGATTTATTTTTATTTTATGTGTATGACTTTTTCACACATGCATGTAAGTGCACCCACGCATGCAATGCTCATGGAAGCCAGAAGAGGGTGTTGGATCCCCTGGAACTGGTGTTACAGATGATTGTTACCCTTGTTACTGCCTTATGGGCCCTGGAACCAAACCCTTGTTCTCTCCAAGAGCAGCCAGTGCCTTTGACTGCTGAGCCATCTCTACACCCCCTGCTTACATAAATTTTGAAAAATAAAATGCTTTTCTTTTTTCATTAAAGAACTAATAATGCAGTTATTCTACCTCACATAAGTTATGCTCCATCTTGAGGTATTATACTGTCTATAATCCATATCTAAGATCCTAACATACCTTTTAAAGCATATATATATGAAAGGCTATTTCCAGAAAATATCATTTTAATATTGAGCTTTAATATAATGGTTTGCCTGAATACTGGCTCAAGATCAAGCTAATAAGCACAGCATAGTGAGGCCCCAAAGAGGTGTAGATTAATAATTTTCAGTCAGTAAGGGGAGCCTTATAGGAAATAATTTGTAAAGTCACATTCTCTTAAACAAGAAAACAAGAACTTTTACTGAAGAAATTATATGTCTTCATATAAGGAAGACTCATCAAATGTTGGGGCAGGCACAGTCTTGAGCATTATAGTTTGAGGTGATAATCACATGTTTAAAAAAATGGTGAAGACCAATGCCTCTGACCAGAGAATTTAATATAGTCAGCAAAGTTCAAACTAAATCACTAGTCAGCAAAGTTCAAACTAAATCACCTTAAAAGTTGTTCAAGTGAACGACTTCAGCTAGTCCATTCTAAGTTTATACAGGAGCTTGCTTTTGCCACTTTGAGTGCACATTAGCAGGCTTTGAAATGGGCACTCCCCACTGCAGAGAGTAAATGCATCTGTCCCTAATGTGCTAACAATATTTTACAATGGGAGTCAGTGGGAATTTTTAAGTAAAATGAGTTTAATTAGAAGAAAATGGAAACTTTTTTTTCATTTTTATTGAATTTTTGTGAATTTCATACAATATATTTTGATCAAAATACCCCCACCCAATTTCATTTACTGTGTTCATTATATATGCATATAATATATAATTAATGTGTGTGTGTGTGTGTGTGTGTGTGTTTACAAGGGCTGTGTCTCCAAATGCCCTTTGGTGTAAGTCCATCTGTTAAACCCTGTTTAACCTACCCAGCATCACACCAACCCTAGATAAGGAACTACTGGCAACTCATAGCTGCTGGGAGAAGGAGATTCTTTTATCTTTAAGGGAAAATGAAATTTTAAAGGGAAAAATATTTCTGAATGTCAGAGAAGAAGTACTTGAAAGGTTTCAAATTCTTCTTGGTTTTCTATAGAAAATCAATTTGAAGTTTCTATTTGAAAGCATGCTTAAGAAATTTAAAAAACTTACAGACCACGAGTTGCTTATTTTCATGAACTAAATAGTCTTAAATAGTCAAAAATACCATTATAGATGGATAATTAAATTGCCTACAACCTCCGCATTATAAAGGAAGAACATTTATTGCTACACAATGATTTCTGTGAGTTCAAGTGATGATTTCTCCTCAATGAGGTCTACGTCATCTGTGACATTTTCTGGTTGTTGACAATTCCTTTGAAGTTCACTGAATGCTTTCTGTTTGCTTTAAAGTTATTAAAGGAATCCATATACATGGACTAAACAAATGATATATCCATATTAAACAAATGATATATCATTTCAGAATTAGGGGTTTGCACATTTAAATATACGTCAATTTAATTTCTGTTCCACAAAATATTCAGAGATTTATGAATAAACTATTAATCTGACGTCAGGGTTTGTTGCTATTGTTTTGTTTTTCATCACATAAAGTAAAAAAGAATGCCGAAAAATGATTTATTAACTGTTAAAATCTAGAAGACTTAGGCTGCAAAAACTATTTAAAAGGTTATCATACTAAAATTCTAACTTCAGTTTCTATAATGAATAGAGATTTTGATCTATTTTGTGTAATATAAAGTTCTAATTGTTTACTTATTTAGCTAATAATCCTGGAAATACAAACACAAAATAAAATATGTACAGTTTGGGTCAAGTTCTGTCAAGAGTTAAAGGAAGGATGTGGTCATCTTCCATAGGGAGCAGCTAGAGGTTGCTGGGTATGTAAGAGTGTACCATAATTAGATTCAATAAATTATTTAAAAAGAAGAAAGGAAGACATCCAGTTGGAGGGAGGCATGGGAAGATCCGAGAAGGGTTGGAGAATGGAGTAAGGGATGGATATGTTAGTAATACATTGTTTCTATATATGAAACTCTCAACAAATAAAAAATATTATAAAGACCGTGCCTCACACTTGCATGACAGGCACCTGGTTTTCTTAGCACAACCAAGATTTTATTAGGACACTCAGAGTGATTATACCTAGTTCTTTATAGAGTAGATACTCATCAGTTATAAAATTATAGATTTAATATAATATAATTGGTAGAACTTACTACTCTATATCTCTAGATATAGAAAGATACCTAAAATGAGTGGCAATATGTACATGTGTATGCTCTGGAGAGTGCTAGAATGGAAGACAGTTATGTGGCTCCCATTAGTAACATATAATTGATGAGGGAAAGTAAATGGGTTGGTTTGAATGGTAATTCATTGATGGCTTGGGAAAAAGAAGACCTTGAGGAAGCAGGGGGGAAGATGCTCCTCTCAAGAGGTACAGAGTTCCAGATTCCCTTTCCACTGACTGACACTTTGATTTGCCTTTGCTTCCTTTGTTAGTAAAGTACTTTGGTTCTGTTAATCTATTATTTCCTTCTTATACAAATGCTACTTATTTTTGTTATTTTCTCTTTAGACTTTCACACATGAGTACAATACATTTTCCTCCTGTCTACCCCCTCCTTCCCCACTTCAA